TGGCTGGAACTTCCAATACTATGTTGAATAGAACTGGTGAGAGTGTGCATCCTTGTCTTATTCCAGGATTTAATGAGAAGGCTTTCAGCTTTTCACCATTTAGTATTATGTTGGCTGTGTGTTTGTCATAAATGGCTTTTATTATGTTGAGATATGTTCCCTCTATACCAACTTTGGCAAGAATTTTTATTATGAACTGATATTGAAGTTTATCAAATGCTTTTGCTGAATTTATGTGTTTTTTTCTTTTATTGATGTGGAATATCGCATTGATTTGCATATGTTGAACCATTCTTGTGACCCTGGAATGGATCCAACTTGATCATGGTGTATGATACTTTTTATGTGTTGTTGAGTTTGGTTTGCTAATATTTTGTTGGGGATTTTGTATCTATATTCATCAAAGATATTGTTGCTTTTTCTGTTTTAAAACTCATGGCAAACACCCCCAATCTCTGCCTCCTAGAGTTTCCTCTGATTGAATAACTTCAGTGTCTTTAAGATCATAATTCTTTACTCCAAAGTGAAGTGAAGAATTTGAATAGAATCAGATGAGATATAAATGATCAAATTCCATCAATTCCTTGTTTAAGATTTTGTGATTATACTCAGTGGAGTAAATGTAATTTTGTTTCTAAATCAGATTTGCTGAAGCACTTTGCCTTTCCTGACAAATATTCTCCTGCAAACACTTCAGGTTTGATCCAGTAGCAAATATACCTATTGTTATGTTGTCTCTATCCTTGTCTTTACAGTGTGAGGGTGCTCAGGTTAAATACTCTAAAATATTTCCTTTGATACAACTAAATTTTCTGATCTTTGGAGTCTTTATTGACTGTGTTTTCTCTTCATTTTCCATTTTTCACATCCCACATCCTGCCTATTCCTCTTCATCCTCAAATTTGCCTTTTTTTTTTTTGAGAATATCCAGGCCATCACCCTCCATCTCTTATCACCTCACATGTGGACTATACAACAGCCCCCCGACTGGCCTCCCTGACACAATTGTTTCCCTCCATCTAATTCTCCGTACCAGGGGCATGTTGCAGAGATTCTCCTAGCCTTATTTTTTATTATGTGCTCACACAGATTTCTGCCCTTGCTAGCCAAATTTGCTCATCAGCTAAATAGGACTTACTTATTTCCCCCTCAGTCTTTACATGTGCTATTCTCCACATTTGGGAAATTGCCTTTTTTTCACTACTTGTTCCCTCTGTTCCAAACTTAACTCTTGCCCAATTCAGGACTGAATCACCCCACCTCACTTATCAGCTCTGTGTGTACGATATTAATTTTTCTACACTGGACTGTGTTCTGCAAATACCCCTTTCTTCTTGCATTTGATGTGTAAAATACTTGAGAACAGGGACTTCAATTTTTTTAAAAATATTTCTATCATACTTTTTGTAGTGGACAGTACACAGTGGGCATCTAATAGTCACGATTGACTTTGGTAATATCTGGAGAAATTTGATTAACTAGCAGTGAGCATTTGGGAAGACAAGCTTTGATGGGTGTAGGTGATTTTACAAGTTCTGATTTCACAGCAATTAGAGTGCTGAATAATCTTCTTAAATTGCCTATGGCTGATTTTAGTTCTAAAAAGGACAAATTTGATATGAAAGAGTTTGAAGTGAATTATTGTTTATCAAACAGCCCCATATATTCATCAGAGTGCCTTGATGTTCAACACTGTGACCTCCTATCAAACATCTTAGAACAAAAATGCATGAGTCATAGAGAAATTTGAGCCAGACAATTTTCTACATTAAATTCTCTCCCAGAAAAGAGCAACAACAATTGCAAGTGTTCAAACTTAACTGGACACTATGGAACTATTTTCTGTCTTAACTTCACTCTGGTTTTATCAGATCACTACCTCACCTTGGAAAATGAATACAAGGAGCATAAAGATTTATATGTGCAATTTTCAGGATATTTCCCTTGGTCATTATTTAATCTTCTAGAAAACGCTTGGTGAAAACCAGCTAATTTATTTAAAAATAACATGCCAAAGGGCAGTAAATGCTTGAAACCAGTGGTTCTATATACTTGTAAGCCCTTCAACCACCAAGTGCATCAGAGAGTCTCCTTCTTTTACTTGCCATGATTTCCTTCTTTCTCACACCAGCCATTTTCCAACTTGTTACAGAGGTAATACATAGGATACTACTCATTTCCATGTTCTCTTGAAAATCCTGTATAAATTTCTATAAATTTCCTTCATAACTGAACTGTTTCTCCTCTCACTGAAGCCTATTTCCTACTTTTAAACAGCCACAGATCTTCAACAAAATATCAACTTTTCACATGATGAAAAGTTGGGTTCGTCTTATCAGAAGCCCTCAAGTGCCATTTTACCCATTTTTAAATGAGAGTGATTGAAAGCAGAACATATTTGGATCTAATTCAATTAAGACTTAGAGGGGATGAGAAGAGATACCTTCTTACGTCTTTTCAAGAACCATCCAGCTACCTTTCAGAGTCTCCAGTTAGATTGGAGCCCATAGATTGCCAAACCTCCTGGATTTCACACTTTGTCAAATTAAAACCATGTATGTGTTGTCCATCTCTCTGAGCACTGTTTATTTTTAATGCAGTTTTCATTTCCTATGTATCTATTGCTTCTGTGCATTTCTCACTTGTCTCATAATTTCTGACATTTTCAGAATTTTTCACCTTAAAATAGCCTCAATTTTAAAAAGTAAGCATACTGTTGGTGGATGAGCTATATAAAGTTGTTATGAATGTATGGGAACTAGTCACATCAGTATTTTTCTAAATTTCCAAAATCCATTTCAGTGAAAAACTGAGAAGAAAAATTTTTCCCACTGTGAAAGCAACTGGAAGAATGCATCATGTTCTAGACTAAATACTTATTATGCCCATATGGGCTATATCTTTTTAAAAAATCTCAGATGAAAATTGAATTTTGAATTGCCATCTAGAAATACATTTTTATAGATAGTGTACACATTTGTTCCTGAAAATGGTAGAAAAGGTTTCTTGTCAAGTTCCCCAACACAAGTGTGAATGCTCTGTTTTTGACTACCTACTAGTAGTGAAAGGACACATTGTGGCCAGCCAACTCAAATTGCTACCCACGTTTAATCATTGTAAATAAAGGAAGCAGAGAGACCCATGTTATATTTTCAGAACTGGCATGCTCAATACAGAACTATTAGTTTAAAAATACCACTGAACATTCTATTTGAATTAATCTAGACTTCTGTGAAAAACAAACTAATAAAAAGTACAATTGGTCACTTAAACATGTACTACTCATTTCATGCAGGTTATTAACTTAGTAATTACACATATCACTAAAGAACAATGAGAGTAAATACAACTTTGTAACACTTGGAAAACAGTTCAGAATCTATAAATTTCCATTTTGAAATACCTAAAGTTTCTACAGAAGCAAAATCACTTTTCTCAGTGGAAAAAAAATACATCTATGAAACACCTATGTGTTGGACAGTACTTTTTAAAGGAGCAACTAATTGTCCCACTGTGAAATGAACATGTATCACTGCTAAGGTTTCACATACTGTTGGTGCATAATGCATTTTCTGAGCAGCTGGATATAGAAAAGCAGCAGAAAAACAAGTACTTTGAACAAAACCCATGGATTATAGGGAATCAGTCATGTAAAGAGGTTGAAAGAAATAATCAAAACATGTTACCTAATGTTCTCTTACATATTTGAGTTTCACAATTACAAGGACTGTGAAAATTCTTAATTTTTACACACTGTGTACATTTGTACTTGTTTATATTTGCTCCAAAACATGACTTAAGAACCATATACAAAATGCCAGAATGAAACTCAATTAACAATTGACCCCCCCACAGGAATCTTTGTGGAGAGCACACCAAAATTAATCGGAAAGAACATAAAGTAGTAATTCACAATAAATATTAGAATAGGGGCACATTCCTTTCAGCAAATTCATAATATTTTAGATATTCACAGGAATTTTCTGATATGGTACAGTCACAGTCACAATGTGAGGGTAGAGAAGTTTAGTCTATAAAATATACTTATTGAAGCATCAGGAATAGAGATACTTCTAAAGGAGCCTTGCACACATGGCCAAGCAGATATTGTGTATGTACAGAATAGTCTGTTTCACAACTACATTTCAGATGAGAATCACTGCAATTGCTGCTCTAACACTAGTAAACTTGAATCATTTAGTACTTTATCTGTGAATATTGTTGTTTCATTTATTTTCTACTGCTGACTCTTGCAGTCAATATTTATTTAAATTCAAACTCCAACGATGTTGAAATAAAAGTAGGAAGATGTGAGCATCTTCATATAAAGCTTATAATAGCAGGTCAAGAGATCATTTGGAAAAAATCCAAATCTGAATTTTTTAGCAAGCAATAAAATGCATAATTTAAAATGTGTTTTCAAATGTGTAAAACTTTGTTAATAAGCTAAAATGCCATAAGATTTGTTTAACACCATCCTAAAAGAACAGCCTATTCATTTGCTTAAGAAATGCACATTGTTTATCTACCTACCAGTTTGCCTACAGAAGATATGCTTCCCTAATAAAACTAAAAACTCTCATTATGAGCTGTTGATTTAGTACACAGAAGTTGTCCATTATGTTGAAGAAGTTCTAAACGTTTCAATCAGATTTTTTCTTAACTGATCTTCCTCTACAAACAATCTTCCACTTGGGATGCCTCAACACTTCTTTCTTGATAATTCCTGATTTTTGGTTACTCTATAGAAGTTCTCTTTTCCCCTTAAAACTTACTTCAGAAATTTCAAATTCAGTTAAAGTCTTTAAAATTCCTGCTTTCAAATAACATGTAAATACTGAAATATTCATAAATATTAACTTACCTACCAAACTTGCAGTCTAAGTGGTATCATAAAACCTACTCTATAGAATAGAATTTAATATTGTTTTCTTTTAAGGAAGAAATCAAAACTGTACATTGGAACAACGTACTATACTACAAAAGCAGGTCCTTCTATCCCCCCACTACTCTGGAAATGTAAACAAAAAAAATTAGATACAAAAGTGATTTCTGTGCCTTTTTCTTTGAACACCTTTTCAGCACCTCAATGTTATTAGGTGTACTTTTTGCTTGGTATAGCAGAAATTTTTATGCTCACATAGCTGTTCAGAAGACTTCAGATTTTCCGCTACCAAATATCACTGGTGAAGCTAAGCTCTTTGGATGATAAAGGTAGCAGGGAACTGTTCCTATGAAATTCCTGGGTATCTTTCAGGGCATTATTAAGGGGTAGCTGTCCATTGAGTAGTGTCAGAGGCAGGTTACAATAGGTGTGGTGGTTGCCTAAGGAAGGTACTGGCAAGGTGGTGGTTGGCATCTCGTGTTTATAACCTCTGCAACAGTGCCTCATTTGCATCGAACCTGAATGGTGGAAATCTGGGAGGTCAGCTTGAGATGACACCAGAGAGGCCGAGGTACTGGTCATGGCAATAGATGGTATAGGCTGGAGTTCTCCAAAAAGTCCTTGTTCTGCGGAGTCCAGAACATGACACCGAGAAAGCATTTCTTTTTTCCTGATGGGCATTTCATATACTAAGTGCTTCCAAAACTTAGAATTTAATTTGCTGCTCTTGGGTCCCTTCCACTTGATCAAGGACAGAAGTTTGATGCTGCGCTTTAGTGATTCCACTTCCTGGCAATTCACCTTCCCCTTTAATTCTGTACATTCAATCAAAATCACTTTGATTTCTCCACTGACTAGCATGTTATGGAGTCTGCTTTCCAATTCGAAAACACTCCATCCTCGTCTGAGAATATAGTCTGGAGTTAGCACAATAATGAGTCTTCTGCTTTGCTCAACACATCTTGTGAGATCTTCAATGTAGGCTACAAATCACAGAAAGAGAGAAAAAGTAAAACAAAGACATTTCCAGTCTTTAAAGCATTAGGTTTGCACCCTAGTATAGCAAAGATCCAGTCTTTCACTAAGGTACATCACATTTTCTTTTCTTGTATTGCACACTCAGAAGGCTCATTGCCTTAAAAATAAAAATGAAAAAAAAATCTTCTAATACTTTTCTTTCCCCTCATCATTACTTACAGTGTTCTGTTAGCTATATAAACTCTGACTTCTTAAGAGCTTAGGTGTAGTTCAGTTATTTTTATTTACTTAATCATTTAATTCAAGGCAGGCTTCAAGGCTAGTACTCTTAGGTGAACAAGGAATCAGCGGGTTGATGAAAAGAGAAATGGAACCTTTTAATGAAAGTCACTGTATTTATGGGTTTGGTTTGCTTTTCCCCCAGTTTCCAACTACTAAACAAGTAGGGGGTCTATGTATATATAATATATATATATATATATATATATATATATAATATATATATATATAAATATATAAATGCTTCAAAGATAATGTGATAGAGATGGTGGAAAATCTCTTCTACAATCCTATCTTGTTTCTCAGAATACCTTCTGTTCTTTGCAACCTTACATTCTCCATTTTACCCTTCAAACCTGGAGGTAGGGAAGTGGTGTGTGTGTGTGTGTGTGTGTGTGTGTGTGTGTGTGTGTGCCCATGAGTTTAATTTGAACCAGCTGCTCTTTGTTCAGAGGAGGAGTGAGGGGTGGAGTCAGAGGTGGGGGATGGTGTGGAAAGAAGAGTAAAGGGGGAGGAGTCTATCAACTGAGAAGTCTTTGCTCTACTTTGTGGAACAATTCTGAAAGTGAGGTGAACAAGTTATGTCCTTTTCCTAGTAGAAAAACACTCAACGAACTCTAGATTTGTTTATCCCATGGAATAATCCTTTTGCAACCGTGCTTCCCAAAGTCTTATCCGCCAAAAAGGGAAACACACACATGTGTTAACAAATGGAGACTTGGACACAGGTGCTGCAACAGAGAGCTGTCTTTACTAAGCAGAGCACAAGGCCTTGTCTAATGTACAGTGCCCTCTAGCAGAAGCAGTGCTTACAGAAGCATAGCAACATTTGTCACTGCAAATCTGCCCAAGGTTACAGACTGCTTTCAAGGAGTCACGTCCAGTACACAGTGAGGGGCCACCAAACAGCCCAGTACAAGCCTTTTGAAAAGAGAAACTTATTTTACAGATGCATATTTTACAGATGATCTCTCTTTTCCAGCGTTTTATTTCTACCATTTGGCAGCAAGAACACTTTCACAAGTGAAAAAGAGCAAATTTTCTATACACCCTACAGATAAACAAAAAACTTTTTGAGAGATACACAGAGAATTGCCCATTTAACAATTTGTTGTTACTGCTGTTTTGGTTTTTACTTAATACATTTCAGGACTTTCTCATGCAGTAGTTACAGAGACTGTATCTGAGGGAATAAGGCAACTTCTAAGTGGGGAGGGAACCCATTAAGAATTTTATGCATTTTCTTTTAGAGATCACGTTTTCAAGGAAAAAAAATCAGCATTGAAATCTGCAAAAAATAAAAATGAAAACAAAAAAACAAACAAAAATACCACACAAGTAGCAATGGGGAAGTTATCACTCTGTAATTGTCATTTAGAGAACTGGTGAAACAGAATGGAAGGAAAGGTAGAAAGTTTCAATAGAGTGGAAAAATATTATCCCAATGTATCAACAGCTCTGACTCTTCATTTTCTTCCTTTCTTTCTGCTCCCAAAAAGAAAGAAGTTATGTGGGAAGCTTCATCATTAGAAGTTGGATCTGTAAGATACAGTAAAATAAACTATCATGCATCTTTCCCATTATTCTTTTCACCTTTCCTCCAAACAAAACGAAACAAAACCAAACCCCAAACCTATACATGGTATAAGCGCAGGAGTCCATGAAAACACAGTTTTACCAGGTTATGTATGAGTTAATTGTTATTTTTACAGAAGAATTCCTTACCAAATGATTTACTGAGGAATTATTCCAAGTAGCATTCTTCCCTCATTAATTGTAGCTTTACATTTAATTTTTAAAAATTGATCTGTACAAACCTTGGCAGGAGCACATTTGTCACAGAAACTATACCTCTATGAACAACACTGTTTCTATGTGTTGGGATGTAGTTTATTTTTAAAATATACTTTTAAAAACAAAAGGTATAGCTATACATATCTCTATCCATTTCAAGAAAATTACAACTCAAGTGTTCAGTCATAAGAGAAACTATATACATACACACTAATGAATTTGACTGGGAAGTCATAGGCTTTGGCTTTATTATCCTCTTTCTCGATTGGGGAAGGGAACAGGGTACAACATTTTTCCGCATTAATATTGTTCTCCCCCTTCACCATTCTATTATACTTTGCCATTTGACAGCTAAGCAGAATGCAAAATTTAGGGTTTGGGGGGCCTCTTAGAGATTCATTAAACAGAATTTTCACTTGCCCCCAGAAGGAATGCCTGTCAGGACGGATCCCACTACACTCAGCTGCACAGGGTGTGGGTGTTGAAGGGAACCTTGGAAAGAGGGAGTGGTCCCTGTCTCCTGCATACTACACTGGCTGTGCTTATCCTGGCAAAGACTAGTGGAGAGTTGAGGCAACCATCCAGATAATTCCGGCTGAAAACCTGCTCTGGAAGAAAAAAAGGTCTGAATTATCCTGGTTTGCCCTATATATACATTAATCATATGCACTGGAGTCAGTCAGTCAGTACATCTAAATTTTCCCTGGGTAGACACAGCCCAAGTGTCCCAAAGAAAACATGAGCCATTTTCTTGGGCCCTGAATTTCGTGTTCCATTTCACTTGGTGAAAAACCAAGTGGAAGTTTTCAGATGTGAAGCCCACATTTCACTTCTTGGGATGGTGATCAGTGGCTGGGCAGCAACCTCAATGTTTGAAAGCAGCTGGGGAGGTGCCGCTAAGAGCTGCCTGGCTCTCAGGAAAAGAAGGAGAGACTGTGCCCTAGCTTCCATATTCTGGCTTGTTCTCTCTGTTTGTCTATGTTTTTTTTTTCTTATTCTCACCCCCTTTGCTCCTCTTTCTTTCTCCATTTCTTTTTTTTTTTCTTTTCCTGTGCTGTCTCTCTTGTCCTTTTACCTCCCTCTTTGCTTTCTTTCTCACTTTTTTCTCCCTTCCCCTGTCTTACTCTCCCTTCCTCTTTTGCCTCTCTCCCTTTGCCCCCTTTCTCCCTCCCTTCCTAAATCTTTTCTTTCTGTCTCTTTATCTTTGGGAAAAAACAAGGACCTAGATATCATGAAAAGTATAAATAAATTAGCAAGGGACCCAACAGGTAGAGTTAATATTTTTTACTTGCTAATCTTTAGCCAGGCAGTCGTTGCTGGCTCCTACACAGCAAGTGCCCAAAATAATTTTCCCATTACCCTGGGGTTGCATGTCTGTATCCAATGACTGTGAATTGGAGCCTGATCCATTAGGACCATGTCCTGTTTTTGTATGGCCTGTGAGCTAAGAATGATTTTTTAAAACATTTTTAAAGGGTTGTAAAAGAAATAAAGAATATGATGCAACAGAGACCATATATAACCTACAAAGCCTAAAATATTTATTCTCTGGACCTTTACAGAGAAAGGTTGCCACCCCTGAATTAGAGACCAATCAGGATGTTTAGGTTTGGAAAAGTTCCAAATAAACTAAGCAGAAACAGTCATCAAGTTAAGGCATTGCTGGTCCATAGCTAGTGTAGTCCATGACAGGCAGTGGTGTTTGTCATGGTAGGGCTGTGGTTTTGTGGGAGACATGTTAGAAAACTTCAGAAACCGTTTTAAAAGGTTTCTTACCACGAAGAGATAATAAAGAAACGTTTTTCAAAAAAAAAAATCCCTAAATCCACAGCACATAAGAATACTCGCTAAATCTTGCCCTGACTTGTTCAGGCAAATTTAGCAACTGAGTAGCAGGAATCCCTTAAAAGTCTCTTTTTTTCCACATAAAAATATAAAGTATCCCTTAAATGAAAGGTCATTATTTCTTTGCAGATTTTAGTTTGAAGTAACTTACGATGACAGAAAAAACTAAAGAGGGTTGTGTCTGATAGCATTCTGTTTCTCTAAACAAGGCTATGAAACCACACTAGATTATCAGCCATGAAACAAAGCTATTACACTTAACCTATTTGTGATCTTCACAATTTTGTAAAAAGCAAACAAAAAAACCCGGACAGTTGTATAAACCAAAATTCCAGTGTATTTAGAAAAATAGAATTCAGTCTACAAAAGTGACTTGAAAACAGGACACATTAACAAAGCAAAATGTAAACTGAAGGAAGAAATAAAAGGACAAAATAGAAGCAGAAAGAATATAATGGCAGCCCCAAGAAATTGCTTCTAATGGGGTGTATATTCTTTCCCAAAAGAACTCAGTACTCTTAAATGTCAGGCTTTGAACCTACTGCAGATGTAGGCAGAAGGACAAGGGGAAAACACTCTCATTCATGAATTTCTATGTGGTCTTGCTACTGCCTACTAACCATATGATTTATCAAACTAATCAATTAGCTACTTATAAATTATCTTTGTGTTGACACTTCCACTTATGCCAGGATCATTATTAGGGGCAGATAGCATATTAAAAATTAAAAGACAAATGCTTAGTCTGTAAACAAAAGCATAATTTATTACTTTGCCAGGTTCAAATAATAGAATCTTGGTAGGCTTATATTCACAGCTATGTACAACCAATATCAGTTAAACAGACAAATCATTAGGGTGAGATAGGATGCATCAAAACTGAATAATACCCCACCAATTTTAGTGAATATTAGTTAATTGATAGCTATAAATGGTGATATTTATTAAACCTATGGGTTAATATGTCAATACTTAAAATCAAGATAATTTCTGACAGTGATTGATCCACTCCTATGACTGGTGAGGAAAAACCAGCAAAAATAATACAGGTTTCACATGTATCAAAAAAAGTGTATTACTCAGCACT